CGGCTCCTTCTGCCAGCACAAGGATTGGGAGAAGCACCACCACGTCTGTGGGCAGACTCTGCAGGGCCTCCAGGCCTCCGCCGGCGCAGCCCCTTCCTCCGGGGTGGGCTTAGGGGTGGGCTCAGCTCAACCGGATGTGGTGGCTGTCAGCGCCTCCATCACCAGCGTGGCCACCATGGCCGCCAGCCCCAGCGAAACCGGCTCGGCTGCTGCGTCGCGCTCCGGCACGCCGGCCACCCCAGCTCCTCTGGAAACGGCATCACGCTAACCAACCGACTGGCCAGCCAACAGAGGGGAAAGAAACAGAGAAACCTACAGAACGTCACTGCTGCTACTGCTTCTCTCCAAAAGAAAAACTAACTGCATTCAATGCAATTCCTCAGCTACCTGACTCTTCTGTGACCTCCAAATGACCTCTCGATCTCTCATATGTAATCCTCACGGATCCTCAAACTGGGCTTTAAGTGGAGTTAAGGCAAATACCAATCTTCTCTGTTCTCGCTTCGGTTTTCTATGATTTGGGGAGTTATTATCGGCGTCGGCGTCGGTTTGTTTGTTTTCTTCTTTTCGGACAAGGAATTTGTCCACAAACTCTACGCACCTTGACTCGGGGATGTGCGTGTGTGTGTGTGAAATCTCCCTCCTGGTGCGGCCGGGGGACGGCATGATGAAGGATTTCGATTTTAGAAGGCAAGAAACTTCTTCTCTTTTTCGTTTTTCTTTTTTTTTTTTTTAGTAAAAAATAAATAAAATAAAAATAAAAACGTCAAACTCTTTGGCTTTAAGTAAAAAAAAAAATCCAAAAAACAAATAAAACAAAGTAAAACCAAGTAAAGGAAGCTTACCTGTAAACTACCTTGCTAGCTAGCCAAGAACATACCAGACTCACCTCTGCTCCAAAGGAAATCCAAAAACAAACAAACAAAAAAATCCAAACTTTTTTTCCACTGCCAAAGTTTTTTTGGTTCTGTTGTTGGTTATTTTTACTTTTTTGGTTGATGGTTTTGGTTTGTTTTTTGTGAAACAAGGAGCAGCACTTATCCCTTTCAACCAAACCACGACGACTGGCCAAAGGCAAGCCGGCGCTCTTGGACTCCTTGCATTCTTTGGTGGGGTGGGGTGGGTTCTTGCGCTGGACTCTCAGCATCCACACGTACTTTGAAGGAGGAAGGACGCGCATCTGTGGATTTAAAGAATTTTATTAAAATAAAGCAAAAACAAACAAAAAAAGATACACAACTTTTGTGCGTGTGTGTGTGTGTGTGTGTGTGTGTGTGTGTGACGGGGAGCCAACATTGTGTGCTCCCTCCCTCTGTGGATTATAAACGTGTTTCACTTGCCTAGGAGAGCGTGCTAATGAACAAGAACCTTCAGATCCCGGTCCTGTTCCAGAGAGAGCATCGTTTCAAACAGAACTGTGACAATCTGTCGTTGATTCTCCACTGCTCGTCAGAGTGTGAGCAGAAAGCAATTGCACCAGTACCTTCTGCTTCTTGTACTCCTCCACTACCTCTCTCTGCTCTCCATAACCCCACCTCTAGCTCCAGTATCTTGTGACTGCCGTCCTTACTCCTTCAACCTTTCACAGGAAAAAAAAAAGACACCTTTTGTTTTTCCCCTTCTGAAGACTCTTTCGATTGCCTGTAGATAGACCCCCTTGCTTTTGTGTCTACTTGTTCTCCAGATGTTTTCTCCAGTCCTGTGATGAACATTGTCATTGGGTTATTTTATTTCGCTTTCGCTTTTTCTTTTCCCACCCCGCGTCCCCTCATATGATTTTGCAACAGTTTCTAGGAGGAAAGAAAGGAAACAAACAAACACTTGTTCTTAGAGAAGGAAAAAAAGACAATGTAGATTATTTTGCATTTCTTGCATCGTGTATAACGCGCAGAGGACGGGAGTGCAATATGGAAAGTGACATGGCTGCAGAAAGCGAGAAAGGTGGAGACTGCCCAGCCACGGTCAGGGCAAATATTGTACGTTAATGTGAATGTATATAGTATTTGAAGAGGTCCAAAAAAATAATAATAATAATAATAATAATAATAAAAGAAGAGACGTTTGCCAAATAAAAAAAAATGAAGATAAACCACTGAACTAGGTAAAGTTTAGGAAATAGGTTTTAAAAAAAAGCAAAGTCCACGTGTTCAGTAGGAGGATTAGTTTTCCGGAGTTGCAAAATCCATCACATGTGTTTTTAAAAAAGTAGGGATTTCAGATCAAAAGTTCCCAGGCACTAGTCATTGCAAAGGGAGGTTTGGCTGAGGGCGATTGACTCAGAACCCTAAGGTGGGCGTGTTTGGATGTTTTCCTCTCCCCTGCAACCCACCCCCGAACCTCGCCCTTGTTTCTACCGTTTTCAGAAGCACTGTGTGGTTCTTTAGAACATCGATTCAGGTTTTGGAACAACAAGGAGTCCTTTGTTTAGCACAATGGATACATGCAGGGCTAGGCGGCATTGTTCGGTCCCACTGCGGTTGGGTCTGCTTTGCCCTTTCTTTTCTAGTTGTGAGCCCTAGGTCTCTTAGCTGCATCGCATCCAATGTGAGTCCTCCCCGTTCAGTTGCACCCCGCTCAAGCTCCCTCCTGGTGGCTGTGAAGTTGTAAAGACCATGTCGTGTCTCTCCTCAGAAGTGCGGCGTGTTCCCATGGAGAGGTTTGGGGTTGTGGCTGTTTCTCTCAGTGGATGTGGCTCTGACGCCGTTTGGTTGTGTCGTCTTGGCTCTGGGACGGGTTGTCCTGGAGAAGAGTGTGGAGGGCTGTGTTTGATGTGTACTTTCACTGCCTCTGAGGGATGGCTGTAGACGGTGCCGCGTGGTTCTCCGCAGCTGATGCCGGCTTGTCCTAGGATTCCAGGATTTCAAAGCGAGACAGACCCAGGCAGGAAGTGGGGTTTGAGGGAAGTTGTTAGTGCGATGCTGCGGTCCTTGCGCCTTGCTGTCCCCTCCCCTAGCTCAGCTCTCAACCACAATGGGGGTATCAGATCTTAAGAACCAGGCGTGGATCCCATCCTATGGAAGGCAGCCAGAGTTTTGCTGTTGGCTTCGAGCAGGACGAAGTCACAGTTCTTACATCCAAAGTTTGCAGGCTTTGAACACCTGGCAGTTCTGAACCCGGCAGCATTTGAACCCGGCCAGGAACCAACAAGTGCCAGAAGCACCCCCATTCTGTAGCCCTCCTTTCTCCCGCCATGCCTACACGGTAACGTGTCCCAGGGCTGCCCAGAGGATTCAGGGGGCCTGAGGTCTTTGGCGGCGGGGGGGCCCCGCTGCCGAAGACCCGGCGCTTTGGCGGCAGGTCCCAGGGCAGAAGGACTCCCCACTGCGGGTCTTCAGGGCACTTCGGCAGCGGGTCTGGAGCGGAAGGACCCCCCGCCACCGAACTGCCGCCGAAGACCCGGAGCGGAAGAAGTTCCGGGGGCCCGGGCGCCACGAGTGTTTTCCGGGGGCCCCGGAGCGAGTGAAGGACCCTGCTCCAGGGGCCCTGAAAAACTCTCATGGGGGCCCCTGTGGGGCCCGGGGCAAATTGCCCCACTTGCTCCCCCCCCGCCCGTGTCCTCACATGACAATCTGGACACCTTACGCTGTTGGAAGATTACATCCCTGGGGAACTGTGGAAAACTTTCCTTAACTTCCTCTAACCCCATGGCAGCCTGGTCTTTCTAAAGCAGGCCTGGATTCCTGGCTAGTAAGAATCTTCTGGAAAATACCAGCCCACATGAGCCCCCCAACCCCGAGAGACAGTTCCTCTAAAGTCCCAACTGCTGCTCTCCAGAGGAAGGTCACATCCTCGGTGAGGGATGAGAGGAGGGACCCAGTAAGAGACAAAGCAGCCTGTCAATATCTGTGAGTGCAGAACTTCCTCCCCTGGAACTGACTGGCTGTTTGACGCAGGCCAGTCCCAGCAGCAATGCCACTGACCTGATCTCTCTGCTGAAGGGCTCCCTAGGACCTGTAGTGAGTCTTGAAGCCCAAGGTGAAGCTGTGCAGAGACTGGTCCCAAAGCCCTAACTAACTGGGCTGGAGCTATTGCTGGGGTTTGTTTACCAACCATTTGACGGTAGCTTGCAGTGAATCCAGACAGAGACCTTTTAATGGGCCAAACCCGAGAATTCGTAGCTTCTGTTTGTTTCCTTCCGCAGCCTCATTCATCCAGCGTTAGGTTCTGACCCTGGTTTTCTGACATGCATCACTCGCCCTAAGAAGGATTGTTGTGTTTATTTATCACGTGATATATGTATATTGTCTATTTTTCTTATATTTCATGAAAAGAGGTAATATATAAGAGTTTTCAGATGTCATTAACCGCAGGGTTCATCCTGCCATTCGTAGTGTTTGTTATTTTTCTCAACCTCTCGTGCTTGAATTTCGGCCGCCTCTCTGTCCCATCCATCTCACATCTGCTCAGCATCCGGACCCTGCCGCTCTACCTCCAACTTGCTTAAAAACCATAGACGACAATTGTATAGAAAGGAAAGAACCCCATTTAAAAAGAACTCAACAAGCTTGCCTTCAAACCAAAATCCCTGGGAAGGGAAAGAGGGGAGCGGGAGGGGAGCCTCTTGCGGAAGTCCAAATCGGAAAGCTTTAAAATAGAGTATTTCAGTGGCCAAAAAACCACCAGGAGTATGCAGCTTCCCAGACCGTGACGCTCGTGGCACAAAGAAAAGCAGGCGGCAGCAATAGAGAAAACCACTCGCTGGCTCCTCTGGGTAGGGCGAGAGGATGCAGGCGGTTCCAGGCTCTTTCGTTGTGAGATGGTCTTGCTAAACCTCCTCAGTCAGAGCTTTCTTATGTGTGGGCTTTGCAGGGTCACCTCACCCTCCTGTGTCCTGCTAATCCCTGATTCCTCTGCCAGTGCCCCCCATTGCCTGGGAATGTTATTCCCAGTGGAACAGACACCAGCTGGGAGAGTTAATAGCCTCCTCAGCCATGGCCATGTCAGCAGGTTTTAAATCCCTGGGGCAAAGCAGCATGGTTAGATTGTGTAGTGCGTGTTGTGTGTGCGCCCTGCAGTGGGCCAGATTCTGCGCTCAGTGACTTACCTGCAAGCGCTTTGTCCCCATGGGGTTTGCAGGGATGTCACTAAGAGTAGAATTTGGCCTGCTCCACTGCGTATCCACCTGCCTCATGGTTACAGTGTAGGCCCAGATTGTGTAGCAAAAGGAACTTAACCTAGGCCAAAAATCCAGGGAATGCTGACTCTCCTGGGCCCAGGCGCTGTCCCCGTGCATATTACTGGGGGGATGGGTATAGGGGGCAATTGGGAGATTTCTCTCTCCTGGGTGGTGGCTCTTTGGGTATCTTTTTGTGAAGTCCCTGAAGATGATCAGAAAAGGAAGGGCCAATGTTTCGCCCCTCCTGCAGCCCGTGCCAGGAGCTATTTAAGCGGGGTGACCCTCCCCACATGGCAGCTCTGCCTGGGCAGCAGCAGGAGCGTGGGAGGGAGGGGGGGCGCCTGCTGCTTTCCTTCCAGCAGCCCTGGGGCAGTGAGGAGAAAAATAGGGGATGAGCCCAACCCCAGGCAGGGGTGAGGGATGGTTTTGTGGCTAAGGAAGTGGTGAGGTCAGAACAACCCCAGGCAGCTCAGCACAAAGGCATCTGGGATCCGGGACATCTCGGGTGGCACCATGTGTCCTCCAATCCCATTGTCGTCACTGGGCATGTGGTTCTCTGCAGGATTGGCTCGTCGTTTGCAATCAATGTGTGTCTCGGCCCAGCATGGCGCCGTGTTCATTCAGGTCACCTTCCTGTTCCCAGAGGGCGGAGGGAAGCGGGCGTGTTTGGCAGGTCATTCCTGATGCCAGGTTCTTTCTCGGTGCTGGAGCCCAGCCCTGCGCTGCACATAGTATCAGAAAGTTTAGAGTATGTGCCCGAGGGGGGAAGCCGTTTATTGACACAGGGACAGCGAGATGGGGGTTTTGTTTGGCTTTACGCATGACTCACCGTGGACCCATTTCCATGGGGGGCTCTTTAACTTGAGCCCATCCCTCAAGTTTCCAAATTGAAATCCAAGCTGAAACCAAAGCACCTCCCTCCTGCCCTGCTCCAGCCAGGCAGTTTAGTGGTGATCCTAGATGTTAGAATTGGAAGAACTCCCTTAGGATCTGTTCAGATCATGCCAGGGTCTGGGCAAGACTGTTCCACGTGGTACATTTACTAGGGCTTTGCTTAGTCCTGTTTTAAATAAACCCTATGATGGTGTTTTGTTCCCTGGTCTGCCGCGTCTCACTGCCAGGTTTTCCGGAGAGTCTATATTCTCCCTTTCTTAATAGCATCCCATGGCTGCTAGTTACACTCTCTTCTTGCAGCCAACATGATCGCGCTCTTGGTGTTTCACCCCCATCAAATACATGTGGAGTAGGGCTCGAATTGTATCCCTCCATCCTTCCTCATTGCTCAGCTCGTGTCAGCTCCCCTCCAGCCGTCCTGCCAGCCCCCACCAATTCGTCTTGCTCTTCTCTGAAGGTCTGGCAGCCAGGTCCTGCCCAGGCACAATCTTCCTAGTGGGAGTCAGGCTCCGGGACACGGGAGCGTGGGACAGGCACGGCTGGGTGAACAGCGAAGCGCCAAGGGTGCATCTCCCCGGGGAGGCAGGTGTTGGGTGCACCTGTGATGTGCGCCAATGGTTCTTGAATGCCAACTGGTTGCATCTCGTGGCTTAGATACCCCCAGCCCACGCCTAGGCTACTTGGAGGCAGTTATAGCCCAGGCGAGTCAGTCTCCCTGAGACTGCCAGCAACATTCTTCCGGTCACACGCTTACCAGCAAACACAGGCAGAAATTACCTGGGTGTGATCTATTCTGTAGGGGCAAAACAGAGCCAGTGCTGTTGGTGCAGCTGTCTTGCTTCTGGCCATTGCCCCATGTGAACTCACCATACATTCCCTGTACGCGTGTAAAAACACACACACACACACACACACACACACACACACACACACTGTGCTCTGGTCTCTTCCTCTTTCTTACGATCCTCTTTTTTCTTTATGGGCATCCCCACGCAATTTTGCGGCCTTTGTGGGGGATGGCCAGGCTCATGTGTATGCTAGTTACAGCAATGAATGGGAGGCGAAGGAATTTCTTGGGCTGCGATCCCCGCCCCCTGGTAGGCGGGACCCTGCTTCCCATCTCTCTGCGCTGGTGGTTTTATGTAAGGCAGATCTGGGGGAGCCGGAGGGAGTTTTTGTTTCTTGTAACAAGCCCATCTCTTGGCTTGTCAGTTGCTTTGGAGAACAGCAGCAGGACACCCCTGCTTGGGGTGTCAAAAAAACAGACGTAAACACAGCCCAGGGAAAATAAATACAGAGTAAACCCAGGTTCTCAGACTTTCTGCTAAGCCTCTTCAGAGCGGCAGATTCTGGGATCCCGTCCAGATCTGGCGGCTGAGCCTCTGAAAGGCGGCTTTGCAGCAGCAATCCAGGAGAATTTGCTCTGATGCCTCACCTCAAACAAACAAACAAAAAAACCACCAGGTGCTCCCAGAATTTCCCCCTTCCTGGCACATTTCCTTGTCCCTAGCCAGGGTGTGACCCAGCCAGCAATTCCGGAGAGCCCAAACTGCTCAGCCCAGCCTGGGTGGAACTCCGCTAAGCCCCAGGGATGGATGTGACCCACCCTCAGTTCTGCTCCCGCTCCCCCCCCTCTCTGAAGCGACTCTGCCGAAAGTCTCGAAAGCCGCTGACGTGCCCTGCCAGAACCCAGTAACCTGCTCCTGCCAGGCCCACGGGAGTGCCAGCGTCGGGGGGCTGGGAGGCGATTGACTCGTAAAACTGTGCAATACTTGAATGAAAGGGGGTGGGGGAGGCATGGCTTGTATAGACTGGTGGGCGTGCGTGGAAAAAGAGTTTAACGAGGGGAGAAAACAGAAATCCCGCACCCCACCCCGCTCCCTGCTGTTTGTGGGTTTCCGTGGCCATTCCAGAGAAATGACGACATGATAGGAGTTTTTTTGGCATGCTGCCCTTCCCCCGCGGTTCCCTGCTTTCTCTAACTGTACTGTATGTTTGACCTGTGAAAGATGTAAACATTATGATTCAGGTTATGTCTGTTCTTAACTCTGTATCCGTGTAATAAAGACAATTTAATATCACCCCGGGGGTATCCGCTGCTGTGATTTGTGTTCTGTTCGGCCCCCGCCTCCTCCCCCAGCGATGGGCCAAACCAGGAGGCCGGGAGGGGGGAGTTGGGGAATGACTTTGGTTCTATCCATGTACCCAGCATGAAGGCCACAATTTTCAAGTGACCAGTGATTCTGGGGCCCAATGTGAGAGGCCTGGTTTTCAAGCAGCGACGATCCCCCACCCACTGGCAATCAAGCCCCCTTAAGATGTTTCAAGATGGGTCCCCAAAATCACGCGTTGCTTTTGAAAACCTTGATGAAGAACGGCTAGGCCACTTCCCCTGTTCACAGCAGTGAAGGCTGTATCCTGATCAGTGGGCCTGGGGTCAGAGGGCCACCATTCCCTGGAGGGACTCTCTGTTTTTGAGGGGACCTCAGCAGCAGAGGGGACATGGGGAAGCAATTCAGCCGCACAGGCAGGGCCATGCACAAGGTTTAATAAAGTTCCACCCTTTTAACGTAACCTGCCTCCAGCTTTGCTCTTTGCAAATGAAACTAGGCTGGGGCAAGGCCCACGGCACCGGAGCTGGGCTGAGGACGAGCTCTTGTGGGTGTCCGGGGTTGGGTCAGGCAGGGCTCCGGTTAAAGGGCTGTGCATGGGAGTTTGGCTCCCGACCCGCCCGCTCTGACCTCGCCCAAGTTTTCCAGTGTTTGAAACAGTGGCCACCTCACAAGACTTTGGCCACGCCCAAGCCAGAAATAGAGGAGGCCCCTTCCAGGCCCAGTAACCAAACCGCAGGGGCAGCTCCTGGCCTTGCTGTGTGAACCCCCCACTGAAATCCCAAGGGGTCTGGATTTGCGCCATCCCTACCTAATAGCAGGCATATTTCAATGCGGTCCCTACCCCCCCCAACCGTGCATTCCCATGCTTTGCACGTACGGGACAAACTCCCATGGAAGCCCGTTCTCAAACTGCGCCCCCTGGGGCACTTGCTGGTGGGTCCCCAGAGAGCCCGACAGTCAGATGTTGCCTCTGGATCTCCTTGTTGCCAGCTGCTGCAGCAGATAAAAACATCTGGAAACAAGGAGCCCCCGCTCCAGGAGGGGGAGGAAAGGAAACAAGAGCCACCAGCGGAGGGCTGGGCAACAGCACACGGGAGGAGGAGCAAGGGGCTGGGAAGGGGAAAGGGTGCAGGAAGTGGGCCCATTTCAGGGAAGAGGGATTCACGCCTGGACAGGCCAGGCCATGTTGGTTCCCCTGAGGAAGGGCTGCGTTAATTTATAACTGACTCTGAGAGGGTGTTGGGGACGTAGTGAACCAGCGCGCGCGCTCGCACACACACACACACGTCAATGCCCCCAGCTCAACCAGCACTACGCACTGTGGAGCTGTGCTCTCTGGCTGGAGCAGGGCGGACAGACACCTTGCACTGCTCTGCCCCCTGCCAGGGGGCTTGCCACTGCTGGGACCCACCGTCCTCATTACTTTGGCTTCAGGTGAATCAAGCCCAGTGTATAGCAGGCTGGTTCCTCCACCACGGAGGTGCAGCCACCTCTGGGGTGAACCGCAGCAGCCTCACTCAATGCATCTCAGTCCTGACCTGCCCCCGCCCATTGCTCTCCTGCCCCCCTCTCCCCAGTGTTGAGAGTTGAGGGGAGCTTTGCAATGCCATGGAAAATAAATGTCTGTGTACGAAAACTACTGGGGGTTCGCTTCATTTCAGGGCCTGCAATGTTCTGTGCACGGCCCAGAGCCGTGCACTGGTGTCAAACACAGGGGTGGATGCCCTGGTGACTGGCTGGGAAATACTGGGCTGAAAGGCTTCTTACCAGAGCAGCATTGGCTTGGGGGCTGAGAGAGCAGAGTCCAAGGCCCTGCTCCAGCCGTGCACTACAGCACCTGCTTAACTTTCACCAGGGGAGTAATCCCGTTTAGCCCAATGGGGCTACTCAGATGCTTGAAGTCGACACCTGCTTTCCTGGATTGGGGCCCCAAACAAAGGACATCCCAGACACGTACACATAGCTCTGCCAATGCCCGGCAACTCCAGCTGGCAGGGACCCGCACTGCAGTCTAGGGGGCCATGCACAGCTTGGTGCAAGCCTGTTTGGATTCAAAGGGAGACTCCTGGGGAGAGGTAATATTTAGTTCCCTCCACCACCTAAGCTGCCCATTCCAAAAAAAATCCTGGGCAGAGATGCCTCAGTGCACCCTTAAAGGGGGAAGGAGCAGTGACATTACTTGCAAGCAGCTCAGAGGGGAACAGGAGCTGTAAGGTGAGAGGTGACCCCCATCACAAGGGGGAGTAGGACACCAGTGTGATCAGCTAGCTAGTCACTAGGGGTCTAGAACCCCCCACCTGCTGCTTTGAAGCACAGAAGCTGCTACCCAAGGAGCTAAAGGAGCTGTACTGCCAAACCCTCTCCCCCAGCAGAGAGAACCTATGCGCTGGTCTGACCCCCCAGCAGGGAGCTCTGGTGCTCACACCAGCTGGGCTGTGACCCCTCCGCCCCTGGGTGGGTCACCGCTGCCTGCGATTGGCTGCTGATGTATCAAATGGAGAGCTGGCAGGGGTTGCCCCGGGTGCAGTTTCCTCCTGGCCTCCCAAGTTCCCTAGAGTGGGTTGATTTGTTTGTGAGAAGGGGAGTGCTCAAAATGTTTGGCTTCCAAGCAAGGTAAAGGGTGGAGCGGGGTCCCCCTGCTGCAGGAATGGGGTGTCCCCCAGATCTGCCTGTTGCTTTCTGTTCCTCCAGTGCTGGTGGCATTGGACTGGTTTGCCCTGGAATTATCCGCTTGCCTAGTTCTAAGGTCAGGGCTGTGCTCTGGCAACGCAAAGGGCTATGGCTGCAGCAGCCACATTTCAGTGACGGAGCCAAACCTGTGGCTTTAGGGGGTGCTGGGCTGGGCTGGGCTGGGCTGGGCTGGGTGGGGGACGGTTTTCCCCAAATGGTGACTCTAAAGCCTTCCAAAAAGCCAAGGCTGCCCTGTCTCTGCTTGGGGGCACAGGAACGGCTGCTACTGGCCTTGCCTGGAAAATACATGGCTCCTATCCTGTTCAGAGCCGTCGTACGTACAAGTTGCTGCAGCATATCTAGTCCCACGTGCTCAGAACTCAGGAGCTGGGTGTCATGAGAGGCTCATGAGATTTTAAACAATAATCCGTGTTGGGTTCTCTTTCTTTGCCTTCTGGCTCTCCACAGCTCCCGTTGTCCAGCTTTTCCCAGCAGCCGGGGGGCTGGAGACTTACTTTAAAAAAATGCAAGCTGCAGTTTTCCTGTAACCCTCCCTCCTGACTCCAGGAGCTGGGGCTTTAGGCAAGACGCCCAATGAAGTTACAAGATTATTAGTCGTACCTAAGAGCCTGGGTCATAGACCAGGCCCCCGGTGTGCCAGGGGCTGTACAAAGAGCTGATAGTCTCCATATAAGAGAAGAGACGTGACAGGGGGAAGCGCAAGGAAACAACGACCGTGCTAATCAGCATGAGGGGCTGTGCTCTCAGCACACCATGGCCACGTTTTTGTCGGGCTCGTGGCAGAGTAGGGATTTGAAGGAGGATAACGAAGGGGCTTTGTGAATATGTCTGGGGGGGGAGCGTGAGCGAAAACATGGAAAGTGCTTCAGCATCTCAGCGGAACCCAGTGTCTCTAGCTGCTCAAATGTCACTTGAAACCTCTCTTTGTTTTTGCCGCGGTTCCCATAAAGCCCCCTCTTTCTGGACCCCTCCGGGGCCTGGTGGCAGGACCCACAACCGTCCCTGGCAAGGGTGGATTCCTCCTGGGACATGGCCGAGATGGCGGCTCGGCAGAAGGCCGCAGATGAAGACTCAGACCTGAGCCCGCTGGAGGGGGACAGTGCAGAGGAGCTGGGTGTGCTGGACCCGGTGAGTGCGTGTCTAGAGCGCTGAGCTGCAACCACTGACGTTTGTCTTTCTGGGGACCAGGGCCGGTGCAAGGAAGTTTTGCGCCCTAGGCGAAACTTCCACCTTGCGCCCTCTCCCCCCCAGCCCTGCGGCAGCTCCCCGCTCCCCCCTCCGCCCTCGAGGCGCCTCCCCCCGCGGCAGCTCCCCCCTCCGCCCTGAGGCGCCTCCCCCCGTGGCAGCTCCCCCCTTGCCCTGAGGCGCCTCCCCCTGCAGCAGCTCCCCCCCTGCCCTGAGGTGCCTCCCCTGGGGAGCCGTGCGGCAGCTCCCCACCCCAGCTCACCTCTGCTCCGCCTCTTCCCCGAGCACGCCGCCCCCGCTCTAATTCTCCTCCCCTTCCAGGCTTGTGGTGCCAAACAGCTGATTGGCACCGCAAACCTGGGAGGCGGGAGAAGTGGAGTGCCCACTGTGCTGGGAGAGGGAGTCTGAGTAGGGTGACCAGACAGCAAGTGTGAAAAATTGGGACGGGGGTGGGGGGTAATAGGAGCCTATATAAGAAAAAGACCCAAAAATCGGGACTGTCCCTATAAAATCGGGACATCTGGTCACCCTAAGTCTGAGCCGCACGTGTCAGCGCGCTGCCGGCAGCCCAGCCCAGGAACACTGTAAAAAAAAAATTGGGGGCACCGCTTTTTGGCGCCCCCAAATCTTGGCGCCCTAGGCAACCGCTTAGTTTGCCTTAATGGTAGCACCGTCCCTGCTGGGGACCTGCCCTGGGGCAAGAGGGGAGATTCTCTCCCTCCCCCCCGCCCCCGTTTTACAGTGGTGATGCGGGGTGCAGTTCTGCTACGTCTTTCCCTCGAGGCTCGGGAGCCGTGGGATTCACTGGTTGGCTGAATGTGATTTGGTGGCACTAATTTCATCCATGCAAAAGCATGGGCTGGTGGATGGGACACTGGGCAAGGGAGGACTTGGGACACCTGGGTTCTGGTCCTGGCTCTGTCACTGACTTACCCACGGTCCCAAGGCAGGCCACTCTTCGCTGCGTGTGTTTAACTCAGGTTAGCTAACCACCGTTAGCTAATTGCAGGGAAGACACGGCAACTCTGCTTGAACTGGGGTAAGCCGCTCCGGTTGAAGTCTGTAGGGCAGCCAGGGGTCGAACTTGCGCAGCTAACCCCAGTTGACTAGAGGCTCTGCAGAGACCTGTCATGAGACAGGCCCTGCCCTGTAGAGCTGACGCTGAGCAGACAAGACAGACGCCGGGTGGGAGGAAACGGGACTTGGCCCTGGGGTCTCCTCTTGCAGAGCTGCCCCTCTCTGCACTGGGTTCTCACGTGCTCGGCCTCTTGGGTTTGGTGCTCAGGAACTGGAAGCCATCAAGGCCAAAGTCCGTGAGATGGAGGAGGAGGACGAGAGGCTCAAGGAGCTGCAGGCTGAGGCCAAGAACCACCTCATCCTGAGATCGCAGGCAGGTACGGAGCTGCAGCTCCCCCGGGAGGGGTTGGCTCCCGAGGGGTGTTAAGCTGAGGGTTTAGCTGAACCTGGGAGGCGCATGGGACAGGATTTCCTACCGCAGGGCCAAATGCTGCCGTGTTTGAGGCCTCAAGGGACAGCCAGTGCCATATCCCCATTAGCCAGAGGGGTGGATAGTGATTGTGTCAAAGGCTCCCTGCCTAGTCTGCCTCCAAAGGTGCAATTGGCAGGGAGGCAGTGGGAGAATGGGGGATCTCTGCTGTGTGAGAGTGGATGGAGGACCCCTACGCATGGCTTAGGACACTGAGCATGGGCTTCAGAGTGAGGGCTTATGGGTTCTGTCCCCAGTTCTGCAACTGATTCTGCCCTGAGCCTGGCCTTGGGCAAGTCACTTAACCCCGGTCAGTGATGGATACAGCTTTCGTCCCTGGGGTATTGAGGCTTAGGGAGTGAGTGCGGAGCTCTTCGAAGGTGCCGTTGGGGCCAGAGCTGCTGGCTTGGCACAAGCACCTGAAGCTTTCCAGGGTCAAAGTTCTATTATCCGGCCATTCCTGCTATGCTAGATCAGCTCTAGGGGCACGAACTAGCCCCTGGGGCTCGGGAGATCCTTCCCTCAGGGCTGGCTGTTTCATTGTGGTGGGGTCTAGTGCCTTTCTCTGAAGCTCAGGTCACTCCAAGAGGCAGGCTAGATGGGTTACAGGTCTGAGCCTGTCTGGCAGGTCCTTGTAAAATACCCCCCACCTCCTGCAGGGGCCTTAGTGCCTCTCTGGTGATGACATGCTCGAAGGACACAATGTGGCATGTTTGGGGTAACACTCCCCCTTCCCAAAGGGGGACAGACCCCAAATGAGGAAGAGAATAACCACAGAGGGCTGCAGGACTGATTCCCTCAACAAAGGTTTGCGCCTAGCCGGGCATCAACCCACTCAGCTCTCCCCTCTGGAGATCGTGGTTCAGATACGTCTGTCACACGTGAAATGAGTTCGGTGGCCTCAGCCTAGTTTGTCCGTAACGCCCATTGTGTGGTTTGCCGTAACTAGAGAGGCCCTGGAGTGGAACGAGGGGAGGTGGGCTTTGGATGGGGACTTAAGCGCGTTGGCAGATTTGGGGATTGGGGGTGCTCAGGACAGAAGTGGCAGGAGGTGGTGTGGAGGAAGCATGTCACCTTGTCTTTCACCTTTGAGGAGACCTCTTGCTCTGAAGGGCTGAGGGGCTAGTAATTCAGTCTCTAGGGTGTCAGGGTCGCCCTCCCATCAGCACCAACCTCACTTGGCCAGAAACCCCACTGCCCCCCTGTCGCTCTCTTTCTGTGCAGCACCTTCAAAGGAATCCTTGTCTCGGCAGGTATTCCCTTTCCTAGGACAGCAGAGGAGAAAATCGAGGCTGATCAGAGATCCATCTACGTGGGCAATGTAAGTGGGACAGGTCGAAAACCACAATGAGACCCCCCACCCCCACCCCCCTTCGGTGATGTTCCCAGGGCAGAAAGCTCAGCAGAGCTGCTAATGGGCTGGGGGTGGGATGTGTCCCAAGACGGTCTGTCCCAGCCTCCTGCTAGGAGCAGAGCGGGATGAACCACACGTTACTGGATGTGCTTAGCATCCCCTCCTATGAGGGAAACGGGTGAGAGCCGCTGTCTTGAACTTATTTCAAACTTATCTGCTTGATAATTTCCACCATTAGTCCTGGGTCTGGGGCTCACTTGTGGATATTCAAAAACACAAGTGGCTTTGCTTGGGCCTAGCTAGGCCACACGGTGTTGTTTCTGTTCCCTGACTGGATGGTCAAGGCTTGGATTCAGGTTTCCAGCTGGAATGTCTGATTCTTTCTGGCCGAGAGTCACCTCGGTGCCGTGAGCGGCCAGCACGAGGCTCAGGCACTGCTGCCGTGCTATGGGTCTACGCGAGGCCTTGCGAGCCAGCGTCACCGGTGTCAGTGAGCGTCTTCCTGAGAATCCTTGTGGAGGACGAGGCCAAAAGCTGCTGAACGCAGCCCGAGCTGATTCGCTTCTTGATTGGCGCAGACTTTCACAGGAAGGGAGGGGTCTGTGGCATTAGCCTAGCTCTGTATAACATACCCTATCAGAGCCCTGAATCCAGAGGCAAAGATGCACAAGGGGCAGATCTCATGTTCTCCAGACAGGAGCTCCTCGACCTGGGGTTAAAATCTACCAACTGCAGTGAGTGGGCATTGAACCAGCTTCCAACATGTGCCCTGCACATGGTGCAAATTTACTGGCTGGTGCCATTGGTGAGGTCCCCGTATAATAGCTGGCCATGGGGCACCTCATAAATCAACATTATTTATTATCACTGTTTACTGCTTGGTTGCAGCCCTGAATAATTTGAGCTGGTGGAAGGCTGAGCCATTGCAAATGATATTCTGGGGCTGGCTGGCAGGGCATGGGCATGTGCCCTTGGTGGCATCTGAATGGAACGGGGATGTCTTTGCAGGTGGACTATGGTGGAACAGCAGAAGAGCTGGAGTCCCATTTCAATAGCTGTGGGCAGATCAACCGAGTGACCATCCTCTGTGATAAATTCTCCGGACATCCCAAAGGGTCAGTGCTGTGCTCTAGGGACACTTGGGTTGTAGCAGTTTGGGGTGGGGTGGGGAATATGTTCTGAGAACACGACGCGGGATCCTCATATCCTTGCTCTAGAAATTCCTTTCCCAGAGCCCCATTAACTAGGAAGGCGGCCATTCCTATTTCTTCTCCTGTCTTATGCTGGGATCATCAGATCTCTGCAGAAACCTCGGCTCTCTCTGACTTCCAGCATCTGCAGGGAAACCAGCTGTAGACCCAGCATGGCTTTGGGTTGGGGTTTAAGGTTTCTTTCATTGTTCTCTTCCTCTATTGCTGCCCACCTTGGGTGCAGAGAGCTCTTCTGCAGACCGGGCATGTCTGGCTTTGGAGGCTAAGTCCGAAGCCTAGTGCTTTACTCCTTCCTCTTACCCGGTCTGGAAACCTGTCAATATCATTTCTGTCGCTGCTGATGTGCTCCTTCCATCTGGCACAAGCTGGGATGAAAGGCGCTGGGGAGTCTGTGTCTGAACTTTCGATACTTCGCTGATTTAATGATTAGTGTCCGCACGGCTCACGGCTCTACATTAAAACAGAGGTGTGCTGCTTCTCTCCTCTCGCATAGCGGAGTCATGGGCTGGCTGTCTCCCTGCGTTCTAGAGAGTCAGGATTGATTCTGAATGTGCTGACAACATGCTCGGTGCTGTGGGACACCCATGGAGTTGGCCTCTGCCCTGGACAGGCAGCAAGTGAAGGCGCTAGTCCTGCACTGGGAGCGCGTGGGTGGAATTCACTGCCCGTGCAGATCCCCCATTGACTGCAGTGGGGCTCTGTGCAGGCCCAGCAGGCCAGTCAAGTGCCATCAATTGCAGTATCAGAGCCTAAGTGCCAGGGATTCAGAGCTATCGCATGACTTGCCTGGTCATTGAAGCTGGAGAATTGTCCTTGATTCAGAATCCCCTGGGAAGCGTAGCCCCAGGTGCTTTTCCTAGCTCTAACCACGTTATAACACTCTGCCGCTGGGCCAGTCCCCGTCGCAATCTGGACTCAATAGCTTCTGTCTAGCGAGAGCTGCACTTGAATGCAGGGTGCGAGCTCGGTTTCAGATTGGTGCAGGGGCTCCATGCTGCCTAGGTGGGCTGTCTAGAGCATGGCTTACCAGGTGGTGAGAGAGATCGCAGCCCAGGGAAAGAGCGTTGGCAACCGTCGTGCTCTAAAAATTGTTTAATGGTTGATTGCACGACTGAATAATTTGAACTGATGGCAGTAGGTATAGCTCCAGTGCCAGCCGTGGTGTGATCTGCTACCCTCCACTCTCTCAGCGCTGTCTGGAGCGGTGCCTAGTCAGTTATGTGAAGGAAAGGCCCTTAGAGTGGCAGGACAGACTCCCCATGCTGAGCAGCGGACCGCGATGTTACCTGGCCACCTGCGCAGGTTCCCGTGTTGTGACCTCCCCGAGCAGATGCTGCAGTGCAAAGGGGACGCTGTCTTCCTTTCCCTTCCCAGGTATGCATACATTGAGTTTGAGGACAAGAGCTCTGTGAAGGCAGCGGTGGAGCTGGATGAGAGCATGTTCAGAGGCCGGGTCATCAAGGTAAGGACACCGGGCCCGACAGGGGTGCGAGGCAGGAGTGACTAGTGCCATGAACCTAGGGAGGGATTTGCCTTCCTGACGAACGCACTTTGCTTCCTGGGGGTCTGCACCCGGACCACAGACTGGGCTAGGGATACGTCATTGGGCTGCAGCTGTTTGTACTTGGTTTGGGTGCCTCTGGGTGCTGAAAAAGGAGGCCTCCCAGTGCTGAGTCTACGCCTCCAGGTCTCCCAGGGTGCAGGCCTCAGTCGGGGTCTGAGCTGCTCCTGTCTGGCTCCAGCTTCTTTGCTGTGGGTTTCATCGGTTTTGCCTCTTGCCTCCCTCCTTAGAGACGCTGCCCCCTGCCTGGCGATAGGCCTTGCCCTCTGGGGACGAAGGGCCAGCTCCACTCAGGGAGGGCCCTTTGGTGCCACTGTCTATAGCCTGGGAAATGTAGCACTTGTGGTCACCTTCAAACCCTGCTCCCTCCCGGCTGGGAGGCTGCTGCAGTTGGTTCACTAAGATGCTGTCTCTGATTCGAGTGGGAGACGTGCCGTTTGTGAGGGAAGTGTTGGGGCAGGGGTCATAGAATCCTAGAATATCAGGGTTGGAAGGGACCTCAGGAGGTCATCTAGTCCAACACCCTGCTCAAAACAGGACCTAGTCCCAACTAAATCATCTCAGCCAGGGCTTTGTCAAGCCCGTCCTTAAAAACCTCTAAGGAAGGAGATTCCACCACCTCCCTAGGTGACCCATTCCAGTGCTTCATCACCCTAACCAGGGTCCTGGCCACTCCTTGATCTTTGACTTGTCGCAGGTGCTGCCCAAGAGGACCAACATGCCAGGTATCAGCACAACTGACCGTGGGGGCTCGAGGGGCCGTTTTCCAAGCAGGGGGGGCCTGTCGCAAAGGGCAAACGTCTATGGAGTGAGAGCAAGACCCCGAGGGAGAGTGTACAGGTGAGCGGTGACGTTCCCTGCTGACAGGAGGTCAGCGGTAGAATGGAGAATCCCATGCGCTCTCCTGCCTGGCAGGGGTTTGGTGCCGGATGTCTCCAGGCCTGTTGTGCTAGCAAATGAGCTTTGCAATTGGCACAAGAGGGGCATTTCCCCTGGTCATTAGGTGTCCCAAGGATAGGCTGTCCCTATCCGACCAGCTGCTGGGAGTATCACAAAGCACTCACCTAGCCGTTTCCATGGCTAAACACCAGCAAAGCCCCTCCACCTGCCAGGGAACGGGGAATGGAAGGGGGGAGTATTTATCCCTGTTTTCCAAAAGGAGCAAACCAAGGTGTACACCTGCCCCAAAGCTGCACACTCCCTGTGTCTGCACTAGACTCTTCTGTGAGCTTTCCTCCATGGCTACCTGGAGTACTACGAACGGTGTGAGCGCTACTCTAGACTGGCTGCTGGCGCTTCAGTCTCCGGGCGGCTTGCCTGGCCCTGCTCGGAACAGAGCTAGGTGACCTAGGAATGAAAACGAGGCCAGCTACGCAAGTGCTCCCCTCGGTGGGAAAACTTGGGAGAGGAAGGTCTAGCAGAACCAAGGCCATTGAATCCGCCCGCAGCACCATGCTTCCTCTCTTCGCCCAGGCTGCCTCTCTATTGTAATGAACTCTTTGTTTAATGGCTGGCGGCTGCCCGTGTTTGTTCTGCAGGAATCCCTTCCCTTGGTTCGTGTGGGTTTCCACTCGGACTTCGAAGTGGCCCCAAGTGTCAGTCCATGTAAGCTGCCCCGCTTCGAAGAGGAGGCAGGGGTGTGCAAGAATACAGACAGGCCTTGCTAGGGGCAAGGGGAGCAGGGGGTTAATCAACACGAGCCTTGATACTTCTGTCTCCCCCCAGTAAAACCAGAGTAGTGTTCCCGGTGGGGTCAGAGATGGCGGGGAGGGGGGGACGGTCCTGCAGGAATTGTCTCCTAAGGGCTTGAGGATGTTACTTCAGAGAGAAGCCTGCACTAGAAGCATATTCCTCTCCTGGTCCCACGGGCAGTCACATGCTGTTAACATCACCCGGGTGTCCGCATGGCAAGCGGGAGGCTGGGAACCGTGCGCAGATGTGAACGTGGGCACCCTGGCAGGGCCTGCGGGCGGCAGCTCTCCTGCAATTGAAAGGGACAGAAATGAGCAGTGACTCTTGTGGGAGACGGATGCCCAGGGCGTGCAGTACCTGTGAATGTCCTTCCACCTCGGTGACCCAAGCGTGGCTGGCTTCGAGGCACACTGAGATGAGCACTGGGATCAATTCTCCAGCCCATGCCTGGGCTTCCTGCTTCAGCAGTAAAGTGCCCCCATTGCTAGATACTGCTTGCTCTGCTTTATAGGCTCCCTGGGGAGAGCCGGGTTTATTCCCGTGGCGGAGGGAATTCCTCTTGACCCTGCCACGCTGTCTGTGAAAGCAGGCAGCGTGGTCTAGTTGAGCGCAGCCCTAGGAATTGGCTACTCCGGGGTTCTACTCCCAGATCTGCCCCTGACCTGGCAGGGCACCTCCCCGTCTGTGCCTCGATCTCCTGGCGGGGTTGTGCTAACGAAATGCTTGCACGGCACTCTGAAGACACGGGGTGCTAGGTAATGGCTCTGTGGGCAGGCCTGCGCCCTGCAGTTTGGAGTTGATTAGTACATTCTGCTCACTCCAGCATCCTTCCAGCCCAGCCCAAGAGTGGACGGGGGCTCCCTTCAGGGCCACTCACCACTGCCTCGAAAATGGAAGTTGAGCCTATCAAGGCCCATATGCCCCGCTGATGAGACCAGCAACTGAACGAGTCAGTCTCCTGTGGTGCCATTAGGGTGACCAGACAGCAAATGTGAAAAATCAGGACAGGGATGGGAGGTAATAGGAGCCTATATAAGAAAAAGACCCCAAAATCAGGACTGTCCCTATAAAATCAGGACATCTGGTCACCCTAGGTGCCATCACCGGGTGGAACAGGCTATTACGCTGTGAGCTGAAGCCGCTTGGGAGCAAGGAGATAAGAGCTGTCTCTGGGCTGTATTGAGGACCAGGAATGCTGCTCGTTTGTCTGTGCGAGGCCTAGGGCAGCCGGGCCATCTCGAATGGCCGGTCTCTCCCACGCTGAAGAGCAGACAGTTTTGATTCGGTAACTGACTAAATCGCTGACCTAAGACCGTTGCCTGAGCCGGCCTGTGCTTGCTGATACTGCTTTTGTTCTTGTCTAGGGGTCGTGGCAGGTTATCGCCGTGGTACTCTCCCTACTAGGCCGAAGGATGGGATGACGCTGGAGACTCCAACAGGGCTGGATTCAAAAGTGGGGTATGGGAGAGGGGTTTAAAGAGAACCTACCCGAGCAAAGAGAAGTCTGGACGATTTTAATATTTTTGCCTGGATGGAACAGTGCAGTTGCATGTTGCGCAGTTAAAGGGGTGAGTTGTTCTGAGGGAGAATGGAGCCAGGCTACCAGAGCCACGCTGGCACTTTCCAGGAGCCAGAGGCGTGCCCCGAGTTTGGTTACAATGTCAAATCCTTCTTGTTGAACCCAATATTCTCCCAGCTAGAAAGAACAGCTGATCTCTGGGCATACATGGAGTGCTCTTGACAGTGAATAGGAACAGAGTTCACCAGATGATCGGCTTTATCCTCATCCTGTAGAAACTGGAGGACAGGGCTGCATTTTAGGACTCCATATAAGCCAGATTTGGCCCTCTGGCACTGATCTAGCAGGGAGGTGGGTGGGTGGGTGGGTGCTTCTGGAGGACTGTGCAGCGCATTCAGACAGGGCTATGTTGGAGCGATGGGGATAGCGGGGAGCATGGGAAAACAATCCCTCTAGGAGAAGTGAGCAGCAGGATGTTCTGTTTCCAAAACTGTCAGCTGTACTTCAGCTGGGCCACAGCTGTCAGGAGCGTCTCTCTGCTCCACCCGCTGCTGCCACCGTGTGAGAAGGTCTAAACCCCTCCTGCTGCCAGACTGGAGAAACAGATGCCTCCACTTTGCTCTCTGTGACTCACTTCTTCCGCTTGTCCTGTGGATCATGGATGCTGACATCCTTTAGCACAGGCGGGTCCTCAAGACCCTCCAAGGAAAGTGGGATCTCTTCTACCCTCTAGAAGGGCAGGGGTAAGACTCTGGGACACTGCTTAAATTCAGATCTGGCCTTATGTTAAAAAAATAACTGTAAAAACCTCATTAGGGTCTTAGATAAATGTTGAGGGGAAATCCAAACTTTTTCCGTTGAAGTAAAATAACTCATTAGGCCTTTGTCCCCGGAAGTGAGTGGTCCTGATTCTGCTCCTGGGTAGAGGAGTGAGCATAACTGTGGTTTTGGCTTTCTCAATGTGCTCCTACTCTTCTGTATCTAAGAGCAGGATTCAGCCCTGTAAATCTCCTGGAAGAAAAGGCATCCCTAACCTGGCTTCTCTTTAAACATTAGTGTGTTTTCTTTAATGTCTGGGGTTACACAAGACCTGACTACCTGCAAACTCCTTCTCTCCCCCCGACCTTGTTCTGTAGCTGTGATGCAAGTCCAGGCACTCACTGTTTCACTTCTGATGGGCAGAGTTTGAATCCAGTCTCTAGTGACAAGGGTGAGTTTTGTGGGTCTAAGCTTAGGCTCTATTTCTTCCTCTCCCAGTGACCACAGTTTGGAGGTCAGTGCTGGAAGGTCTAGGCTGACGTAGCAGGGGCTGTTGCCAGTCAGGGTGGAAGTGCATGGAGGGGGTTTTGTGTGGGAATTCCTGCACAGCACCTGTCTGCCTCGTGCGGTCCAAGCCACTGCAGTTTGTCTCACTTTCATGAGCGCTAAACTTGCTCCTATTTTTAAAGGAAAATGCTTTTGGTTAAAAAGAAAAGCCTGGTTAAGAAACCCCGTGAACAATGTTACTGTGTAAAGTTATACATTTATATACATTTTATTAGAATTCCAGCACTAACCTGTCAAGACCTTTAGTCAGGTTTCCCTTTTCCCCAGCTACAACTGATGCAATTACTAACCCTTAAGGCAGCTTTCTGGACAGTTGAAGGGACGCTGTCAGGATAAGAAACCTATTTTAGAAACAGATTTCGCTCCCTGTTAACACCTTGGATCACTGAATTTCAAAAATCTAACTCTTCACACGTGTTTACTATTTGCACTTTGTCTAGCATGGAGCATAGAGAGACTGTTGCTTCACTTTCTGGTTCTCCTGAACCAGCCCATAGTTTGGGTTGCAAATTTTGAAGGGACAATCCAAACCTTTCCCATTGATTACAAAAAAAGTCATTTCTGTTGGTAGATCTTTTATGCCCTAGAACTTTTACAAAACCTGTTTTTTGGGTCTAAAGTACCTGGCAGTGACCTTTTTAATGACTGTTGTTGAAAAGGAAACACTGAGTGCTGGTCTTGGCAAGTGGAAAGATTTAACTCACCTTTTTATATGTAAAAGTTTATCAAAATAGTAAGGTAGAGGTGTGACTTGTTTGGGTGGGAGGGGAGCTGGAGAATGGGAGAGTGAAGTGTTTGACACTTAAGTTATTACTGCTGAAATGTATTGATTGAGCCTCTGAGCAGATTTCTCTGATCAAGTTCTGTTTGTGGGAGGTACTGTTTAATGGACAGATATCTTTTTTTAAAAATAAATTATCCTGCTGTCTAAAAGTTTCTTCCACAATGAAAGTGCAGAAAAAGCAGACCTGTCTTTGCACTGAGCTAGTTGCCTTTAGAAGGCTCTTAGACCACAGAAAAAAACACACCTACTGCAACAAGATGTTTATTAGAGAACACCATAATATATAGGTCCATATCCACGGACGTGGGGGATTTGGCCCATAGTCAGGAGCCAAGTGAATTTCCAGTGGTTGGAGTAAGCGAGGTCTTCCAGGTTAGCCTGTGTTCGGAGAAGATGAAAGGGCTCGCTCTTTGTTTGCTGCAGCTCTGTCCTGGAAAGCGAATTGTTACTTGTAGCTAGACCATTGTTGGACCTTTCTCAAACAAGGGACCTCCAGGTTTTCCTGGCATTCCAAGCAGAGCTATTCTCTCTGATTGGCAGAGACATAGTCATGATGCCTCAAGTTCAGTAAGAACACAAGAATGGCCTGCAAGCCAGCGCTTGAAACCCTGCTGAATGTCATTCCTCATTCTCTGCTATTTCGCAGTGATTTAACTAGAGTGTTTGTTTTTGAACAGTTTGCCCACATGCACCCTGGTGTTCAGTAGACTTGCCCTGGGGACAAACGTGGCACATAACATCATACATCTGTGCTTCCTGTCTCCCTTCTCCCTCTCATCAGTGAGGATTGGCTCCTCTGAAGTCAGAGAAGGAAAACCTCTATTAGCTCACATCTTCCCCATCCCCGGAGGATCAATGCAGGATTGTCCCTGCAGCATGTGTAATGATTTTATGGCAGATACAGAGCTGGATGCCTTAGGAAGTGCTTGGAGTATGGAAAAGATGGAGAAACCCAGGAATTTCTCCACTTTCCAAGGAACGAGAGTTGGGGGAAGATTAGGAAAACCAGCCAGGTGTTGATGCCAAGTTTTCAGGAGAAGTTTAGACTATACGCATCCAGTGCAGCTCTGGTGTTCGCTCTGTGTTTCCTTGAGTCACTGTCTCCTGGACTCTCGAGATTTGAATTTCCCTTGCTGTGATCACAGAAGCACTCTGTGTTGCCAGACAGCTTGGAGAGCAGTGAACAAATGGCTAAGAGCGCTCAGAACCGCTTTCCTTCCAAGAAGCCAGGAGAAGAAATGGTGGAGTAGAAAGGAAAAGGCTCCTGCCTTCTCCCATCATCCCAGCCAGGGCCGGCTCCAAGCACCAGCCCACCAAGCTTGTGCTTGGGGTGGCACCTGGAGGGGGGCGGCGCGGTGCGGCGCTCCGGCTCAGACCACCGGGGAGAGTGGGGCCACGGCCGGGCTCGTCACCCTCCCCCCGGCGCTCTGGCCGCCAGGGAGAGTGGAGCCCTGGCCGGGCACTCCGCCCTCCTCCCAGGGCTCCGGCCGCCCTCCCCCCTGGCCGCCGGGGAGAGCGGAGCCCCGGCCAGGGCTCGCCGCCCTCCCCCTGGCCACCAGGGAGAGCGGAGCCCCGGCCAAGGCTCGCCGCCCTCCCCCCGGGGTCCCGGCTGCCCTTCCCTGCCGCGCTGGTGGGGGGAAGGGGCGGCCGGAGGCTTTTTCGCCTGGGGCAGCAAAAAAGCCAGAGCCGGCCCTGATCCCAGCATTCAGAAAGGGCAAGGCAGAGAAGGATCCAGCAGCACTAGTGAGGAGGGGGTTAGAAAGGAGGATTCATAGAAAGGGGGCTCATAGAAGAGCCACAAGAATGATTAAAGGATTAGAAACCTGCCTTATAGTGACAGACTCGAGGAGCTCAATCTATTTAGCTTAACAAAGAGATGGTTAAGGGGTGGCTTGATTACAGTCTTTAGGTACCTACATGGGGAACAAATGTTTAATAATGGGTTCTTCAATCTAGCAGAGAAAGGTGTAACACCATCCCACGGCTGGAAGTTGAAGCTAGACAACTTCAGACTGGAAATAAGGTGTAAATTTTTAACAGTGAGTAATTCATCATTGGAACAATGTACCAAGAGTCGTGATGAATTCTCCGTAACTGACTGTTTTGAAATCAAGATGAGATGTTTTTCTAAAAGATCTGCTCTAGGCATTATTTGGGGGAAGTCCGATGGCCTGGGGTGTACAGGAGGTCAGATTGGATGATCACAAAGGTCCCTTCTGGCCTTGGAATCTTTGACTCTAGAATCCTTTATAACCAGGGCAACCTATCCATGTTGTATTCTATTGTAATGGTTGTTACACTGGCATTGTGCTAGATGCCCTGAATTTACTACTACCATCCAGCCTCAGGATAGGTCTCCCATCTAGTGTACCTGTACTGGTAAGTCTGATCTAGTAATAGCTTGCAACACCTTGCATCCTGTGGGTAGGATACACCTTGTTGAGATAGGTACAGTCCTTTGTTTTGGTGCATATACCTGCTTCTAATCTGATTTCCATTTAAGAACTCACCTTAATTTGTTCAAATGCCTACTGCCTTTGGCAGGTTTGTATGTTTATTTCAACCTTTCACCTATTCTGAGGGAAGAAAACAGGAGACTAATGGATGTTAGACAGGGATTAGTGGGGTTAGTGTGCAATCCTCAATGTAGTCCAGAAAATGAACAGAGAATTCCCTAACACACCCTGTTTCTCTTCTGGCCAAAACAGGATCGTCATGTTACGGTCCCTTCTGCCAGCCACTCCCGTATGTGTATGTTCATGCACAGAGCAATGAGAGTCTGACGTGATCCGTACAATGGGCTTAGACTGATGCAATGACAAATTGGAACGGGAAATACAATGCACACTATTATCTCTGCCCTCAGGGTGGCTATTTTTCTGCTACCATAGGACTTTCTTGGGCTTTGATCTTAAAGTGGAATGAGTTATGTCTGGATTAATTTGATTAAAGCAGCATGCATGTCTCTGGGGCTGTGGAAATGCAGATGGGGAGGGATAGCTCGGTGGTTTGAGCATTGGCCTGCTAAACCCAGGGTTGTGAGTTCAATCCTTGAGGGGGCCATTTAGGGATTTGGGGCAAAAATCTGTCTGGGGGATTGGTCCTGCTTTGAGCAGGGGGTTGGACTAGATACCTCCTGATGTCCCTTCCAACCCTGATATTCTGTGATTCTAAGAACACAGACTAGGTACCTGCAT